GAAAGAAAGAAAGAAAGAAAGAAAGAAAGAAAGAAAGAAAGAAAGAAGCCACCCTACTGAGGGTTGCAGAATCATGCAGCCTTTAACATTTTAGATTGGTGACCCTTCCTAGACCCAACTGGTGCTTCTTATTGTATCTACAGTACATTGAGTTTCCGTCCCAAAGACGCTCCTTCTCCCCAGCAGCCTAACCTTCAATTCTGGATGAATACTTCCACACCCTTTCACTCTTTGTTCCTCAACATGCTTCTTACATTGGATCACAAGCTATTGAACCAGATCAGAACCAAGAACAACAGTTGAAGTTATGTAGATGTAAAACAGACTGGAGGGCTCAATACTTTTAATCCTCTGACACCCATAGCCAGATATTATTTCTCTTCATTGTGTCTCTGTATGTGGCATTGTTGCAGAGAACTTACAGAAACAAAACAAATTTTACAAGAATAATAACATCTTTAGAAATGATCCTTTCTTCAAAAACCGGACATTAGGAACTGTGAATGAAGAAACTTTATTATTTATTTCGACTCTATTTAATCTCAAGAATTCACCTGAAGGTAATAATCAGGCAACCCAAGACTGACAAATCAAAGTTAACAACTTCCATGAATGAACACAAAAAACATTTCAGAAATGTAACACTCAAACATCCCATGCTCTTAACAAAAATGAATTTGTAGCACAGAAGGAAAAATTCCAAATTTACAGATATTGTAACCAAAATATTCCTAATGTAACCAGGATCGGATGCCTGTATGCTGACTTTCTATATGACCCCATTATTCCTTCCTCCTCTGTCAATTGGGGGGCAGCCACCCAGGGGTGGGATTCCTTTTTCCCTCTCTTTCTTTCTCTTTCCCTTTCTCTCCCCCCTTTCTCTCTCTTTCTCTCTCTCTTTTTCCCTCTCTCTCTTCCCCCTCTTTCTCTCTCCCCCTCTCTTTCCCTCTCTCTGTGTGTCTCTCTATGGCTTTCTCTCCCCCCCCCCACTCTCTCTGTGTGTGTCTCTCTCTCTGCTCCTCTCCCTAGCTTCCCCTCTCTTTGTCTCTGTCTCTCTCACACACAGAGAGAGAGTGGGGAAGATAGGGAGATGGAACATTCTCTTTCTTCCACTTGTGCTGCTGGATCTGACTGGGGGAAACAACCGGGTGTGCTTTCGTCTTGCTGCCTCTGGAGCTGCCCAAGCAAATTTCCCACTGCAGGCGCATTTCAAGGACACATTGCCACCTCTTTCTCCCTCCCCCCCACCACTGTGCGCATGTGGTGGAAGTGTCTCTTTGGTCAACATTTCTCATCCTCCTCCGCTTGTGACTGGTGGCTGTGGTTGGAGAGGGTTGCATATGCATGGGCAAATGCTCCTCAAAGGAGCAGCTGCTTGCCCCGTGCTTGGTTTTTTTGTGCTTTGGCACTCGCTTGCATTTCACCTGCCTTTGCAAAACAACCACATAATTTATGAACTTCTTCCTGCTCTATTTACCTAAGCAATTTGACCTCCCAACTATCTCCTTACAAAAAAGTGAGCAATCCATTCGTTCAGAGGAAAGCCTCTTTTCTTCCCCATCACTCCCACTGGGCGCAACCAAAGCCTGAAGTCCAAGAGAGACCCGGACTCTCTGCAGACTCCCTGGCTGCTCCTTCTCGTTCCCTCCAGCCTCCTCTGCCTCTGCTTGGAGCCTCCCCACAACTCCGATGCCCAGTGCAGTGCTTCTTCCTTCCTTGCCCAACTCAGCGGTTTTGCCATCGCTGCCTCATTGCCGTTGCCCGGCTCTATGCCTCCCTTTGGGGCTCCCTCTGGAGAGGAGATGGTCCTTGTATCCCTCTCCCTCCTGTTCTGTCGTGAGAAAGATCTGACTCGAGACCAGTGTGAATTTAGCTCTTTATTAGCTATCAGTAACCTCAACAAAACCGGAGCCGTGGCAGCCTCTTTTATAGCAGCTTCTCATGGCTCGCAGCCAATGATAGTTCTTTAAACTTCCCACCATCAGGCGGACCAATTGCAACAGTAGTTAAGTAACCAATCAATAGGCGGCAATGGCA